TTTGGGCTTTTAAGGATGCCATTGGTTTGAACTCCACCCTACCTTCTTCCCTGGTTATCACCTTTCCAGACTGCAATCTGTGTTCATCATCCAACCAAACTCGGTGGGGATCACTGAGAACCAAGACAACCTTCCCTCACTGAACCTCACTGCTTTACTCGCACAGCCCCACCCTAGGTTTTTGGCTATAGTCACAAAATGATCTTCCCCTCTGCTGATGCAGAAATAACTGAACCTCAACCACCACTGACAGATGTTTCTCTAGCTGCCTTTATACTTCCAGTAAAAGTATTAAAAATCCATCCCACTACTAAACCAACATTATTTGCCTGACATTTAACCAAAACTTTCCATTCTACGGCCAAAGACTATTACAATGTTTCTTGTCTCATGCACAGTAACCGGATTGTATTGAACAACGATTCTCTATCCTTTCTAGTAATTTTTAAAACATTTTTTGCAGCAACTTATTATTGACTCATATTCCATCTGGGAGCCACTTGTAACAGACTACTCCTAATTGTTGCCAGAATGATCTCCCCAGAGGAAAAGGCTACCCTAAATGTTGTAATTATCTCAGATGGAAGTTCCAAGAAAACCTAGGCTAGAGGTAAAGAAAGAGACTAAATACTCTAAAGGTACCAGATCCCATCTGATCTTGGAAGCTAAGGAAGGTCAGTCCTGGTTAGTACTTGGATGAGAGACTACCAACAAATACCAGATGCTGTAGGCTATATTTCAGAGGAAGGAAATGGCAAAAACATCAGAGTACTCCTTGCTTAAGAAAACCCTATGAAATTAATAGGATCACAGTTGATGGCTGACTTAAAGGCACACATACAGAAGTGAAGGAGTGAGGAAGCAACAATGAGGCCAACTGAATGAACTGGCTATAGTTAAGGGGTGGATGGTGCTGGCTACCACCATCCAGAATATTAAATGTCCAGTAAAAATTATCTCAGGGAATTCTAAATTGTACTTTTGATATATGGATTCATTGGTCTTCCATAAAAGATGAACATATTCTTCATGTAGCAACTTGTGGATTTTAAAGCAACAGAAGCCTTGAGCTGATGTGTGAGAACAGTGCAGGGGGATTCACAGGTTGGCTAAGAGTTGACCCCAGTATACAATAGTTACTTTTCCTTTGTTTAAAGGGATGACCAAATTTAAAGATTTTTCCCATAAAGGAAAGTATTTTTATTTTTAATGTGAAGTCGTAGGCTTTCATGGCCAGCATCCATAGTTTTTTGTGGGTTTTTTTCGGGCTGTGTGGCCATGTTCTAGAAGAGTTTCTTTCTGACGTTCTTTCTGACGTTCTTTCTGACTATTTTTATTTTTATTTCTCCCTGATTAAAAAGTACTTCTTTATTCCTCTAATGGCAGTTATACATAATATTAATATTAACTTATAAATTTTCTGATCAATAACTATATGCAATACATAGAAAATAAATATTGCTTATAATCTCTGGAATTATACTGAGAAGGACTTTTTTTTTTTAAAAAAAAAAAGTTTGCTAAAAAAATAATTGTTTCCTCATCCATCTGGGATGATCATAAAAATCTATTCCTAATAATGATACGTACAAAAATCTGTTAAGCACCATCAAAGCTTATTTGGAGCCTAGTGACATACCACTGAATGAAACTGTTCCAGTCAGTTATGGTTCATTTCACCACAAATAGAAGCTGTATTATCTCAGTTCCTATTACTACAGCTCTCTTTTCCTTATTCACACTATTCATAAATGCAAACAGATGAACTAAATAAAACAAAAGTCTGTGAAATTACAGTTTCCTTTATTCTTGTGGTAAAGTTATTTATACAGAATTGGCACATAATTTTATTGAGTGGTTTCTTGAGCTTTAAAAAAGGAACCATCCGGTTTAAGAACTGAATGATTTCATTTTGAAGCAATCCATCATTCATTCAGGTAGTATAGTTAAGAAATATGGATTGAGTGAGCGCTGAAGACTTGCTACAACATTTAAGCCCCAAGAGACCACTGTGGTTCAAACTTAGAGTCTAGACCAGCTTAATGGAGTGAGACAAGCAATGGCTTATCAATAAGGGGGGGGGGGGAAACAATATTAAAAAACATGGGAGTTTGCTACTATGGGGGGGAGTATAAGCCCCCAAAATGCATTCCATTCAATGGAGAGCAATGCTTGGCTGTATATCTTGCAGTTCAGTGAAGCATACTGTTTTATATATGGGGTAGCTGCAAGTCAAACTCTGTTTAAAATACATGGTAAAATTTAACATGTTGATCTCTTACTACATTTGGATGCCAAAATTGTCCATAGATCTATTCAGTTAGGTTTTGGGTCAGGTATTACTACTATTAGCCAACATTTTACATATTCCATGGACAACTATAGTGAATGCCAACTTCAATAATTGACTGGCAGGCAAATGTAATATATCCAGTGCTATGTTTCTATTAAGCCTCAATGAAAGCAAACTTTGTGAAAAGGAAGGGTCTTTCATGCTTGGCTTCAGACAAGATCCTCAGCTTATATTACCGAGTGTGACTCCACTGACTTCCAAAGTTCTATCCTTATTTTTTTCCTGGTTGATGACTTAGGAATGTTTACATTGGGGCCCAGAATAATTTCTATGAAACACAACACAGTCATCCAAACAGAACCAATTCTAACTAAATAAATGATTAGATCAGTTTAAAGAAAAGATATAGCCATTAGGTATAGGCTAGCTTTCCAAGCCACCTATTGGAGAAGTGCCTAGTAGGTGTATGAGACAATAAATATAAACAAGTAATAAATAAGTTTGCTTTCCATCACTTAGGATTAAAAGAAAACTAATATCAGGCAATTTATTGTATATTTATTATATAAAGCAGAAAGAAGAAATGGTTCATTGTATGCAATCATGTCATGAAACAATGCATAATTTCAGTAACTGTACAGGCCTTGTTCAAACATGAATTGATGTTTTGTCTTCTGCTTCAGTTTACCATATTCCAGTAACACCCATTCACTCATCTGTTTTAAAAGGTTGCATTTTTTATCTTCTCAGCCTCCAGTCTTACATCTCCCCTCCCCCCCATTTACCAGTTAATTGAGAACATAGCTACTAAACTTCAGTTTTTTCATTAAGAACACCTCTCTTTTCTCCTTACATTTTCTCTACTGTTTTTCACAGTTAAACTCCAGCTCCTAGTCACTGGGTGGGATTAAAAATACTACTTTAAACATGCCCTCTTGGTTCTCTGCAGGCTTTTGATTTGGATGCATGTTTAAAAACATTAAACAGTAGATCCCCAGTCTATATTACAAATGTTTAAAAGAAGAAGCGTCTGATTGTTTCAACAAAAAGTTTGCTGGAGCACAAAGAAATAAGCTTGGACAGCACAAAACTAGCTGTGTAGTAGTTTCCACTGTAACCTTTAATACACTCCGTTCCTAATGTGATCCTTCCTTTGTTCCCACTGGCTCATTTTCTACTCAAGCACTTTGCCTTTTAGACTTCCTGTTTTCTACCCCAAGTTTTTGGAACTCTTTGCTGTATTCAAGGAGAGACTCTACCCCATCCCTCTATTTCTATCTCCCATTCAGTTATCTAAATACCTAAATACCTAGATGAGCTAGGAACACTACATCCCAACACCTTGTATAGTTTGGTTGGTGGGTACACATAACAGGGCTTTCTCTGTAATAGTGCCTTGACTGTGGAACTTCCCACCCAAGCAACTTAGTCTGGCCCTATAGCAACAGCAATAGCATGTACATTTCTATACCGCTTATCAGTGAACTCAGTACTCTCTAAGTGGTTTACAATCTCTAAGCTAATTGCCCCCAATAAGCTGGGCACTCGTTTTACTGACCTACGAAAGGATAGAAGGCTGAATCAACCTTGGAGTCCCTGGGATTGAACTCACAACCTTGTGGCTGCAATACCAGCATTTAATCACTTTGCCACGAGGGCTCCCTATCTCTCTTAAATGTCCGGAGGGCAGTGCTATTCTGCATGAAATTCAATGTTTGAAATTGTCCTATTAACTCTTTTTAAACTGGAATCTAGCATTGTTTTTAGACTGTTTTTAGGATTTTTGAAGAGTATTCTAATGTATTTTTAAAATGTTTTTATTTTTGTATTGTTTTAATTAGTTTTGTTGTTAGGTTTTTGTGG